ATAGTCACTACAGACACATTAGGGACGTTGAAATCAAATTTAATATTGAATTAATTTTATTTAATTAATTCAATTTTAATAAATTTCAATTGAAAAACATTAATTTTAATTGAATAGAAGCGATTGTAATTAAATAAAAGTTAATTAAATTGAATTTAAATTAACTAAGTTTAATTTATTTAATTTTTTTACTTTTTTTAATTTAATTTTATTTATTAAATAAAGTTGGATTTACTTTTGATTCAGTTTAATTTGATTTATTTTAAATAAGTTAATCTTTGAGTTCATTTAATTTTGTTTAGTTTAGTATAATTCAATAGAAGTTAGTGTTATATATTTTTATATATTTAAAATGTTTTTTTAATTTGATTTATTTCTTAATTTGATTCGTTAATTTATATTATTGGCTTTTTTATAATAACATTTATATAAGCTAGTATTAAGTAAATTAATTATTTTTTAATTATTTAAATTTTTTAAAATTTATTTTTTGTATGTTATTATATTATATATTCCTTATTACATATATTATAATAAATTTATACCACAATATATAATTTTACATTTTTTAAATTATACTATTATTTTTAAAGGCGCAAATAATTCATTATAATCTAATTAATTTATTTAAAAATAACTTATTATATTTAACAATTAGTCAATAATGTGATAAAATGATTTACTTACATAAATATAAAAATTTTTATTTGTCCCCAAATTTTTTTGGTTAGTTTTACTTAAAATATAAATAATGTTAAATAAGTATTCCTAAAAAATTAACATAAACAATTAATTTAAATATTTTACTAATTTTAGGAATTTATTTTAGTTTTTAATTGCGTAAAATTTTGCGCATATATTTAATTTTACATATATTGATTTTTATACATTCAAATAAGGCCATTGTTTATACGTGTTAATTAGTAAATAAAACATTAAGTTTTTACATACATTTTTCTTAATATTATAACTTTTTATATTATTGTTAAAGAAATGCAAATTTTGAATAAATCTCAGTGTGAAATCCAAAAAAAAAATATGAAATCTATCTCGTATCCTATTAGTTTTAATTTGTCAATTTAAAAAAATTATAGTAAACGAGTCGGCTGATATTGGCCGACTCGGCATTTAATTTAAGTTAATGAATAATTGTATGTACTATAAAATTTTTTACTTCTTTATAATCGTTTAATCGTTGAAATAGTGTTGTAATAAAATTAATAATATTAATAAAGATAATATACATTTTTTTTTTGAATATTTGACGATTAATAATAACCTAGCAGGCATAAAGTATATTCAACGTACCATATTAGAGAAGTTATAATGATGGAGGTTTAGGATGATGTGTTGGATTAGGTGTGTAGGGCATAAGGAAATTAAATTTAACCAGTTTTAGGGTTCGAATGCATACTATATCAGTGGGAAAAAACCACAGGTAAATTGAGCCGAAGAACAATTAAATAAATATATATTATGATGCTTTAATCTGCAGTGAGAGTACATATTAGGAATAGATGGATTACCTAATTTTAATATTTAATGGAATCAAAACGCTTATGACTAAATGAAGAAAACGAGTTTTTTCTGAACAATGTGACGAACAGTCTTGTTAAAAATCGATACACAATTTATATACTTTATTCAAGAAGATATTGAAACAGTTGTAAAATACTAATGCTCAGATTAGTGAATAAAAGGGAAAAGAAGTGATCAACCGCTTGATATCTACCGCTTGAGTCTAGAAAATAAGTATAATTTAAATTGTGGAATTAATATATATTCTTAAGGAATTCCATTAGCTTTTTAGGTTTAAAACTCATTATGTTAAATGAATAATTTTATACAGACAGACAGACAATAACTGTATCAGTTTTAATATTTATTTTGTTCACTCATTATAACATAGCAATAGTAAAAGTTATTAATTTGAAAACCATTTAATAAGAATTTTAATAATACCAAATAAATTCTAATTACTAAGCTCATTTAGTATTATTAGTGCTTAGTTTTGTGAGCAGTTTAGATCAATTTAGTAATCAAATTTGTAATTAAACCGAAACTTGAATCGAACCGAAGCTGGATATCTCATTGTCTGAATTAAATCAATCGTTCAGAGTAACGAGACATTGAATCAAGGCATTATACTGTATTCACACGAAAGTTTTGTTTGTAATTTTAGCTGTCAAAAGTTTTCATTTTGCATTGAAAGCAACAATAATTGACAGCTAAAATTACGAACAAAATTATCTTGTAAAGCTCGTTCATTCACAAAGGAGCTTTCTCTCACACATATGAAATGAGAGCGAAAGTTTTATTAGGTTGTTTATGTTATTTTTTTCATTTTAATTTGATATTATTTTGTAATATATTTATTATTTTCAACAAAAAAACTCCGTTAAAGCCGGTCCCAAGCGTGGTTGAAAAAGAATGGCTTTTGAACACCTTACCGTCTCAGAAAGTTGGTGCGGACAAAAAACTCTTTCAGACCTTCTTAAGAAAGTTGGTCGCTATAGTTTTTGAACCCAACACTCATTGACTAATTTCTACATATACTTGTAACAAACATGAATTAAAACCACAGCGAAACTATCTCTCCACGGGATAACCGGTCTATAGCTAATCTCTCTGCCTTGACAGCAGGAGCATGAGATGTGGAGGCGCCAAATTCACGTTTGAGTATCCAGATGACTGTAACCGAAAGTCCCAATGCTCTACAAGGCGAGAAGGACAGCAGTAAGTAGGTAAGTATGCTCATCAAAAAGCCGTAGTGAAATGATCTTTCTCAAAAGCTGTTCAAAAATTGTAAAGTTTCACACAAAGAAAATCAAAATTTTGACTCAAAAATATTATACTGCTTTGGATATGTACATATATAATTTAGTTATGTCTGTCTTTAATTTTCTTAGAATATATACGAGCACGTTTTCTAGTTCTTTTCTTAATTATTTACTATTTCTTAACTAATTTGCTTTCTGATTTTCTGATATAAGATTTTGTGGATTCACTGAATATTATTTAAAATTTGCCTATCAAATTTTATTATTATTTAAAAATGCAAAGCTTTATGGAAGTGATGTCTTCAATACACATAAATATGTAATTTAAATATAGCATATATGTATAATAATATTTAAAATAACTTCTTTAATATGTATATATATATATGTATACAATTATATATTTTTTAATTTGTGATAAGTTTTTTCAATTTAATTTTTACTACTATAAATTTTTTAAATTTTTTAATGAGTTAATGGAAGCTGAATGTTTCAATAAAGTATGACTTTTATTTTATTTATTAGAAGCAATGAGGCGATTATATTTCATATTTCATATTTCATATTTTTTACTTATGTTTTATAAAATAAGAACACAAATTCTTTAATAGTAAATGATGTTGTAGGAAGCGAGAACTCTGCGAATATCTAGAGATTTTAAATAAGATTATAGCATGTGTTTGAATTGATATACGTATGTTTAACTATTTAATATAAAAATCAGGGAAACTCTTTTCACATATTTTTGTCTTTCTAAATCTATATAGTAAACCTAAGAGATCATCGTTGAGAGCGGCAGAAATCCGATATAAATGAAAATTCAAATTATATAGTTTAATACCAGTAACAAGCTTAGTGGTTTTTACAGGTTGTAATCCAGTAAAGGCTTAATGGTATATATTCGAGACATTATTTGATGTGATGTTAGAGTCTCGATTATTTAATATAACTTTTTCTTGGTATAATAGTATATAAACTGAGTGGATTTGATATTTAAATATTCTTCATAATGCAATTCACTTTCTTAAAACACAAACATTCAACTTTTATTCAAATAATGGGATATACCATATATAAATATATACCATGTATACCATATATAAATGAAGTCGTTATTCAGAGAAATTTCTTGAAAACTTTTAATACATATATTTCAGAAAATTTTTTTCCGAATTACTAACAAATAAATTTAGAAAATTTTTTTTCAAATCTTTTGTAGTTTTTATCTTCAATATACTTTTCTTGTCAATATCGAATAAGAAGAAAACAATTTTGATTTCTTCAGTTTAAAAAAAAGTTTCTCACAATAGCTATAATTTTCTCTTTCAGAGTAGTAAAAAAACAATATTAGGCATTTTCTTTTGTAAGCATATCACAAAAGAACAACCGCTTATTTTAAAAATGACATATGAAACAACCACACTGCTGGCTTATTTAGTCCAACCTTTTTGAAATCGCTTAACCAATACCAGCTCAAATCGCATGATTGCCAAGACTACGCATTCGTCTATTGTGAACGACTTTTGGAGGTACCTACGAAATTTCCAGTTAACTGTGTACGAATGATTTCGTTATTTATACATATTTCGTGTCGTCATTGTTCGTAACAAATACGTTACTTTTTCTATTTATTATTTTACTATTAAAAGGCATAAAAATTCATATTTTATTTATAATTATTTAAAAAAATTAATGTACAAAAAAAAGGTCTATTGTAACGAATAAGCCACTCGTTAAGCAGTTTCAGGAAAGTGGGCTTATTTTTGGGAATTTTGTTTTTGCTCTGCATGTTAATTTTTAAGCGACACGTATTCTATTGGAACATTCATGTCAAAAGAACACACCTTTTTTCCTTTCAGAGTAGTAAAAAAAAGCACTAAGTCTGGTTGAAGCAAATTGGCATCACTTCTAAAATATGTTAAATGCTTTTCTTGACCATTTGATTAAAGAAAAAAAATCAATATTAGAAGGGCAATGGTAAGCATTTTTATCTTGTAAATATATTTAAATTAATTAATAAATTTATGTATTTGAACTTATTGGTAAATAAAATGCTCATATGATTTTAACGGACAACTGGAATTTTGCAACATCTTTCCAGTAAAATTTGACAATAGACTGATTCTTGAATTTGGCTGCACTAAAATTTAAGACTTAATATTTTTTGCGACTAAAACCTAACTCTGAAAATTTAAAGAGCATTGTTGTTGTTTCACATGTTTTCTTTCGTAAGTTGCGAGTATTTTTTTGTTACTCTGAATGAAAAAATTACGGCTAATATAGTCATATTGCAGTTGGAAATGTATCGATTGATCGATTAAAAATATTATTGAGATCTGCAAACATACGTGAAAATCAATTCTGCTATGAGTATAACTGTTATTGATGAAGAACCTTGTGGTCCAGTTCCTTATTCTTAGTTAAGTTTGAAATTAATGTTAGTGTTAAATCACAAATAAATAAATATTAATGATATTTTCGATACAATAATTAATTTGTGTTTATTAATGTACGCCTTCTAATAAATCTCTGACACAACTACTTCTCATTACAGTGTTTTAATTATAATTTTTCTCCTTGGTGTTATTGTTTTACCACATAGCCTAATGATGTGGACGGTGTCCTCAGACACTCTTGAAGACACTGTCATCAAAGTAAGTTGAACAACGCACAATGGAATGCAATTAGCCTATGTAATAATTTTCTATATTTGAAGGTGTGTCCAAAACGAATTGATTGATTGTATCTTTTTTATGTTAGAGCAGTTAAGATATACTCGCATTAATTCTTTAAAATTTACTTATTATCTGATATTTATAGTGAACATTTGTTTTCGTTCAGAGACAGCTGTTGTGAAAAGAGTCTATTAAGTGAGTAGTTCCACCTTAAAATGAAAACATATTTCTATTTACTAACTAGAATAACTTATTCATTATATACTCGTATTTCATTTGAGGTATTCTGATCTAACACATATTTAATTTGAGGTATTCGGAGCTTATTGCTTTAGAAGAGGTATTCATATTGGAGTTATTGGACTCGTACCCATATCATTATTGGTATCTAACAACAAAATATGACTGATCTATTTTTATAATTTGTGTAATTTTTTTCGTATGTTCAGTGTTCTTCATATTTGTATGTGTTTTTAAATGTTCAGTGCGTTTTTAGCTTTAAATCTACAAAATTTAGAAAATGGTTTATCTTTACAAAACTTTCAGTACTCTTATTTCTGTCACATTTCATTTTATACATTTTCCCGCAACTTCCCGTGTCGTTGATGAAGTAATCGTTCATAAACATATTAGCCCTAAACACTAGTTTTGGTAACTTGAGAAGAGTTTATCAAAGTTACGTCATTTGGTAATTTCTTACACCATTTATAGTTGCATTTATTCATACTTAGAGTTTGTATTCCCGAAATGTCCTTTTCACATGCGCGTACTTTCCAGTGTTAAACAAGCATCAGCTGTGGCATCTTTATTGATTGCCTTCGCTGCTGCCGTAACGGAGGGAGCTTTTAATCAACTTGTGGAACGGGTAAGCAAGTCGTCATCATCAAATTGTGCTAGCGCAGCTGGAGAGCCAACATCAATCGTAGTAACACGATTACCACCATCGGCTGCTGATGGTAAGCGTATGATTTCACTGTCATTATGCACAGGCATTATAATACAGACAAAACCTTGTCCGGTATGTGAATCACGTGGATGTAGTGTTACCGGATTGAATCTATCAGTTTGACCTTCAGTATAGGATTGTAACCGTTGATATATTTCTGGATAATGCTTGCGCAACAATACACCACGTCTAGACAATATATCCAATATGTTAGAGAGTATCAGTTCACCTTGATGTGCTGCATTGCGTGTACCACGCAAATTCGGATTAAACGTTAGTATTAGTATTTCAGTTGTTGGTTCAGGAACGGCCATAACTGTTAATGGTTGTTGTTGCAATAGTGCTTGGTGCTGTTGGTCTAATTCAACAAGGATTGTCTTACATAGTTTCAGTTTGGCACAACGCGATACCAATTGCCTTTCCCAGCGTACTGGTGCTTGACCCATACCAGGCGCTTCCGACACAACACAAATCGCTACAAAAATTAACATTTTAGATTCTGGTTTATATTCAGTACTTAATTTTAATAGTTCAGCATAGAGTTGTAAGCCCATTTCAGAAGGCATTAAATCTGGCCAGCGTACGTATGATGCCTCGCCCATACACTGAAAACCGTGTTTTATAAAACCTTCAGCTGCTTCAGCAGAACGAAAAAGTACGCGCACAACACCGCGACCCTGTGACAGAAAACCTTTACGGGCTAGCAAGCTTAGATGGCGCTGCGAGTCGAGATCGTCCTTACAGGTGGCAAGCACTTGTCGGCACAGATTTGATGCTCTTGAATGCAAGCACGCTTTACGATGCTTTTCCCAATGGGCTCGTCGACATTCACGTGAACAATATAAATGGGTACAATTGTGGCATGATTTATAATATTTTTTGGCATCGGCTGGTGTAGCGGAACGATCGCATTTTGTGTTGCGACATTTGATTGGTAGTAGTTCGGAAGTTGAAGTGGTGGTCTTGTTATTGGTCGATTCAGTGGAATCGCCGAGAGAGACGCGGCGCGTTGGTAGTTCATCTGTGTTGGTCCTAGTGTACTCACCATAGTATGTTGGCGCTGATGGTATAGGTGCTGCTGCTTCTTCTTCTTCTGTTGATATTGCGACTCCTGCTCCTGCTCCTGCTCTTGCTCCTGCTCTTGCTCTTGCTGTTGTTGTTGCTGCTGCGGAAGAATTTGCACCTGTTGTTGTAGTTGTTGTTGCTTTGGCATTATGGGTATTTGGCAGATACTGCTGTTGTGGTTTTTGCTTTTGTTGATTGGGCGCGTCACCCTCGCTGCGTCTTCTTAAGCGTTGTTGCTCGGCTTGTGAATTTACTTGCAGTTGTTGTAATTGTTGCAGTTGCTGTATGTGTGGTTGTTGTGTATATTTTTGTTGCAGATGTGGCATGTGACGATAGTTGACGTAAGTCTCATTAGCTGAAGCGCCTATATAATAAATACGAAAGTAGCAAACAGTGAATATTAGGGAACGTAATTATTTTATAATGAAGTTCGTAACAATAAATTAGAGTATTAAAAGTTTGGAGTTAGATTTGAGTAAATATTTAAAAACAAGAGGATATTGCATTCCAAAAACTTAAAATAGAAAAACAATAATATTAAAAATTAGTCATAACTTTAAGATAAGTGCAACCAAAATAAAATTAATTAAATCAAGATTTTAGCAATCAACTTACACTTTTATATATATATATATTATTTTAGTTTTATGTTCTTTTTTTTTACAAAACAGGATCCTAATACATCTCAATGAATATTTCAAGTGTTAAGTTTTTTCAATTACAGACATTTTATTAAATAATATTTGAAAATATATAAGAGTATTGAGGTAACAAATAATAATAACATTAACTTCCATGCTAAATACATAAGCGAGCTCGAAAATAAATGATTTAATCATATAGAACCACTTATGCAAAGTTGCTGATCGATTTATGCTTATCTATTAAAAATCATATGTATGTGTTATATGTAGTATCATCTATATTGTTGTGTATATGTTCCACATTTACTCGTTTTTCACGAGAAGTTAAAAATATAATATAATAATAATGTGTATTCCATTGTTGCAGAACATTGTAGACGGACGCTGACAGGGTCAGAAATTTTGTCCAGTTAAAAGAGCTAGCTATTCGATTAAACGAACGGACCCTTAAAAAAAATTAAACGTGGTGACTAGCAACATTGTATATGTCACTGTACATTATATATGCATATATATATATATATTAAAAATATGGTATATGCATATACAATAATGTAACGCACTAAATACACTCAAGTCATAATATGATGGTATACACAATGACCCATTCATGCAATTTATATATAAATTTATGCACTCATATAGAATTGATCTATGTATTTTAAAGTGTTGAAAAATGCTTTAAAACAATATCTTTTTAATATAAAATTTCACAAAATGTGTAAAAAACATATTTTTATATATCAAAAAAAAAAAATGTTTAATTATTTCTCAGTGTAATTACAATTAAAAATGAAGCTAATGATAATACTTCTTACAGTTTTAATAAAGCTAATCAACATTGAAATAGTCTTGCATTCCAAAGAAAACGATTTCATCTTCTTTCATTGAGTCCCGTTGCATATGAGCGTTTCAAAATGCGCGACACCACAACTCTACGATTTACGATCGTCTCTCACGATCACAAATGTGGTTCTACCGCGTCGAGTTGCATATATTTTTCACAGCAAATGCGGTATAGTCTTGATGTCAATCATTTCTAGACAAACATATGCACCGTAGCTTAAACTGCGTAAAAATACCAAAAACTATTAGTCTGATTCTCTTTACATTTATTGCTATTGCTAATCCTCAATTCAGGCTCTGAATTCAATCAGCACAGTCTCTTACTTAATATAACAAAGCAGAAATCACACAATATTTTTTTTATTTGGACATCAGAATATTAAAGGAAACGAACTGACAAGAATAGGATCTGCCATAAAAACTCCTCAATAGAATCGGGTTTCATGTCACTGTATATAACTAAAAAAAGCCGTAGATGGAAGAGCATTGCGATAAGTAAAACGCATTATGACCTGGACATAATCATAAACAAACATGTGTGTAAAAAGCAGGTTTTGATGGAATGTCTGTACACTAATAATAATTATTACCGGATTTTTATTTATTGAAGATCATATAGCCCAAAATGGAAGTTTTTTATAATGTTTATTGTCACAGTGGTAATGAAACAAAACTATAAGAATCCCTATATTCTGTTTTCTCTATGCATGCTTTTCTCTTTGGAAGAAGAAAGCAACCACGCTTTCTTGGGAAGCTAGCGGGAGCTAGCATTTATAGCATTTTAGAACTGTCTACATAAAATAATCATTTAAATAGTTAGTAACAATTGATTTAAATTAGATTGAATTAACGTATTGAATCACTACTTGAAGCGATCAATTCTTATGGCTCAGTTTCACATATACTTTTAAGTATATTTTTCTCTTATTGAGCTTGAGAAATCCAATTTTTAACACTCCAATATGTCAATATTATTCAAGAGGATTGGATAGCTGATCAATATTAAACCATAATATATATTATATTAATATTATATTAATATAGATTGAGTTCATTTTTAGTGAAGTAATCGGTTCTTATGAGATCGGTGAAAAACCAATTTTGTCTGTTAACGTTCATGATCAAAAATAAAATATTTTAATTTTCGTTTGCACAGTATGCACTAGAATTTTTTGGAGATGTTTCAAGATTTTTGAATCTGCGCTGGGAATACGGACCAAGTATGTAGTAACAATTAATTCAGTACAATTTTCAAGTTAGAAATTTACCCAAGATTGTTATGTTAGTGGATTAAAAATTGAGGCGCAGTTTTTTCATAAATAATATCATCATTATCATCATCAAAAAAAAAAAGTAAACCGTATTGGTTTTTGATCTATCGATGAAGAAATTCAGATTTAATTTACTCTCCATTTAACATATATAGTTGCAGTTTATTTCTATTCGATAGGTTGAGCATTTAGAGAGTATCACTATATAGTGTATGTTTTCAGTAGCGGAAGAGTTTCCTCTTCTTGCGCAAAAGTCCTGTTTTTTAACAGAGGTTGATATTTTTTTGAAGTATGAAATTCTAGAGGTACGAACATCTTGGATAAAATTGTTCTGTATATTAATCATCTCACCAAGATATTGAAGATCCTAAAGTACTTTATTTAATTATTTTTTTTTTGTAAATTTATGAGATTACTATTTGACCTTTCAGCTATAGTAGTTTAATATTTCCGATGCAGGTTATATTATTATAGTTTTCTCTTCGCTTAATTCAAATGCAATAAATAATATTCAAGTTTAGTAGCTTCAACTAAACTTTGTGTATTATTAAAGTATTAGTTAATTAATTTTATTTCTTCCTCACATTTGCTGTTTCTGTTCTGGATATGCTTAGTTTATTAGATTTGGGAGAGATACATGTAAAAATATTAAAAATAAATTTTAAGAAAAATTTCTATTAAATAATTATGCATTCGTAAAACAGCTTTAAATAATGTGTAATCAGATTGACGTATTTAGTAAAAAACATACTTGGATTTTCTGTTCTTTTGATCTTGAAGTTTTTTTATTACTATATATTATCGTCTATATAAATGATTGATTCAAAAACGATTGAAGCACGGAATGTAAAGACAGAAGTGATTATAAAGAAATGTGTTGTGCTCTATAATACAAGCGCTAGGTTACACAGATTTTTGTGACCCGGAAAATATTGAGAGACTTTGGTTGGGAAGTTTCAATAACTCAGCATATACACTTATAACAGTCCTGACATTATGCTTACAGATTATTATTAATTCCGATTTTAATAACATTATCTAGTTGTCGTATTTTTGACCTTAAAAAAATAAGAATACAGTGAAATTCATACACTCCAGTTTTTTCAAGATAATGCATACGACTATAAGAGGTCGAATATGTATAGTACACAATCACAAACATAGAAATAGAGAAATGTTAATATCCTAAAAACTTTTTTAATAATATATACCATATATTATATATATATATATATTATTATTATTGTATATATATATATATATATATATATATATATATACATTATACATTATTATAATATATATTATTGTATATGGATGTGTAATGAAAATGGTTTTATCAAATTTTAGAAAGTTATGAAATTATTATATACTAGATTGAATATCCAGAGAGTGTCTTATACTGATTATTGAATGCTAAAATATTACATGTAGTTGAAAATTTTAAATTATGTTTATTAAATTTAATATCCAAGTAGTATTTCTTATCGATTATGTTTGGTAAAACACTACTACTAGTTTAAAATTTAGAATTAGGAAAGCTTTATCTGAAACCGAAATTTGTGGAAATGCTTAAGACCCTAGTGTTGACCAATTATATATTAGAAATGATGGAAAAAACAAAACTTATTTAAAATGTATGCGTCATAAAATTATAGCGAAAATAATGAAAAAAATTACAATATCATAATAATATATATATCATACTTGAGAAAGTATAAGTTTAAGTTAATATTAGCTAATTATATATCTGACTGTACCGATGTAACTCTTAAATACTGGGTATTACAATAAAGATTCGAATATAAGACAAGTTTGCAAGTGTTTCAAAGTGATGAGAATGTGCTCCGGTGTGATATATTACTGGTTTCTTTTTGCGTGTGAGTATGTGTGTGTGTGATTGAGTATGAATGAATGATTGTTGTTGTTGTTAAAATGCAGATTATTGTGATGTTGTTGTGATGATGATGGTGGAACAAAAACTTACAGGTTCATACCTGTCGTGGACCTAGCATACGCATCACTGGCTGACGTAGTCGTTACTGCTGGTGTGGTATTAGATGACAGTCCTAAGAGTGAGGCTAAGACATCTTCTAGCGATGCAGTGCTCAACGAGCGTTCAGGAGCTAAATTTTATTCATTTTTATTGTTTTTTTTTTTTAATTTAATTACACAGTTGTTAATGAATTTCATTATTTTAGTCAGTAAATGTTGTGATAATGAAGTAAAAGAAAAAATAAAAAATAATTCTTTTTAATTTGATTTCGAAAATAATTTTTTTAAATATTAAATATATATTTATATATAGGTAGTTTATATGTATAAATTGTGATTATTGTTATATAGCTAAGCTAGTGTAAACCTACGCTCTTATAAGCTCAAATATATTACGCTGGAAATTATTAATTCAATTATTTAAAACACAATTTAAAACAAAAAATAAACAACAAATTTTTATATTGTCTAATTACACAAGATAAAATTTATTCAAGGGTTGCCACACAGAAGCAAATGTTATAAATTACACTGAGAAATATTATAAACTTGAATGCTATATAGGAAATTCATAATTGCAAAAATGATCGATATTATAATTTTATAAAATTTTAATGAACAAAAGTGATTTTTTAAAGCTATGATTATATATACTAATGCCCCAATAAATTGAATTAAAATATATAGAGATATTAGAAATTCGGAAATTATAATTCGACATTTTAATAAGAAGCAAATAATTATATAATATAGTATTTTAAAGTGAAAAAATTAAATAAATATATTTCAAAATAATAAAAATCAAGCTAATAATAAATTAATTATTTTAAAAAAAGTATGTTTAACATTTTTAAGTAAAGACTAAACGAAAATTCTAAATTGTATAAAAAGTAATTTCTATAATTTAATATAATTCTAAATATTCTGAAGATGAATTTATAAATATACAATGAATAAATTGCTACAAGAGAAGAAGAAGAACGAATTAAATAATTATAAATAATAAATAGCAAATAATAAGTAATAATTACTAAAAACTGGTTACATCTCTCTAAATAGAAAATTATGAAGAAATTGTTATAGGAGGAGAAGAGGGAGATTAAAGCTTTTTTAAGAAATTAAGTATATATAAAAATTATATACTTAAAATTAAGTATATATAAAAATAGACAATTAATAAATTTTGGTATGCAAGAAAAAGATTTTAAACATTTAATAAAAATAGAAGTTTTATATACAAGAGAAAATTACACTAATTTAATAAATAACAAATTTAATAAATTTGTGTAATTAAGTTTTATATTAGTCACATTTCTCACTATTAAACATTCATTTAAAAACTTTAAATAACATATAAAAATAATAAAACATATATAATTTTAAATACAAAATATATTTGTTAAAAAATAATACTTATATTTCTATGTTATATGACAATGATTTTAATAAAATAAAAGTATTAGAAAAGAAATGCTTAAGGATAATTCATAGAGAAAATCTCTCTAAACGAATGAGACGCGATCGCATGGATCGTATGGAAAATTGATCAGAAATACCGCATTTAAAAATTTTCAAATTCGTTCTTGAAGCAAAGTGTCTTCTTGAAAGAAAACATATTGAACGCCTGAGATTTAGATTCCAAGAGAATATTTTTTTACTTTAAAATTGTATATATATTTGAGTCAACCAAAGTACCAACAACGTCTTCAATTTAAAATAATTTTTATTAACAATGTTTACTTCCTATCTACTCTTTATCTTTATATAACAGCTGCATTATGTATATATTAAACCGTTTCTTTATGTTATGTTCGAAGCAGAAAGCAATAGAACAATATATACAATTCTAAGATTATATAGTAAGATAAATATATAATCGTTAATATAGAGAAGAGTTTAAACAGTAATAAGAAAATTGCTCTATATTCCATATAAGAATTACCACCAGCTCATAACGCACAAATCAATTGACTATATGTGGTAACTGTATTCTTTAAGTTTAGCGCTTAGTGGCCTTAATGGTCGATTTCTTCATGTAGAACCAGAGTGCTCAAGTAAGCCCTACTTCATAAATGAATGAAAATTCTACACGTTTATATTGGTGCAATCTAAGACCCTAGTGTTGATCGTTGAACGATTTATCGGTCGTCAACGTCAACAATAAAAATTATAAATCGTTATTAATTTAAAAGACGAAATCGGAAAAAATGATCACACATAAAACTGTAAAACGATCTTTTCCATTAACAGAATGCACAGTAGAATGAGTTGATGTTAATGAAGATCAAGTTATATGATTTGTGTTTTCAATCGGTTAACAATTGTCTCTCCTGACAAATGACTGATTAGAAATATGATTATCTACATAAAAGTCTGCCCAGATATACGTCTATCTATCTGTCTGCATATCAATTTGTTTGCCTATATGTGGGTGCTGTTTTCATACTAGTCCTAAGTCTAATTTAATTAACAAATTTACAGAATGGATAGAATATTGGTAGTTCATAGTTTTCATACTTGCTGATTATTTCTAATGTTTGGAGATTTTTCTAGAATTATCTTATCATAAATATTATTATTAATCAGCACACTGGCAATACTATTTTACAAATTTTTTTAGTATAAGAAACAAAAAAATTATATGAAAGAGAAAAAATTTATTTTTTTAATTTTCTAAAAAAAAAAAATTTAATCGACACAACTTTTACTCATCAAATACCATGTTTTTTTAAAGCAGAATATAGTTCCCTTCAAGACTGCATTATAAGAAATATGTTCATGATAGGCGCAATACTATTCCTGATATTAAAAGGTAATGATATAAAGAAAATGTAGCAGACAAATTATACATAAACTTTAAACTTTCCCTACAACTTTATTGTAGGGAAATGATATATAACATGTATAGATTTCTGATATATATATAATATCGGAGAAATATTTTATGAAACTATGGACGTATGTGATCGGTCATTTCATTTCTACTCTACTAAAATTTAATAAAAAATTAAAGATCAAATTAAAATTTTTTTTAACAAATAAAAATTGGTTTAATTTACGTCCAGAAGTCAGTTTTCAACAGTAAATGCCTCGGTTAAAGTGGACTATAATAACAATTAAAATCTTTTGTATAGAGATTACACTATATGAGTTTCGCAGATTAAAAATTTGTATGTATAAACAGCACGCTGTTTCAAATGTGTAAAAAACTTTTAAGCTATAAAAGAATCCATCCGTTACCGAAAACGTTTTTAAAACATGGAAAAAAAAAAACAAGATCGATTAATCTATGTATGTATGGTTATCTTTGAAGACATTTTCGAACTAATGAGTGAATTGTCTTCAAAGATTTTTTGCACACATGTCTTGAAGACTGCAAGTGTTCAATTTTTCCCAATGAAATGTACGCTTGTAGCGTAGTTGCTCCTTTACTCTCAGTTTCACTTTACTGCATGCCATATTTTCAGTGATGCGGACGTTGTCAGCAAACAGTTTTAAAATGTCTTTAAAGATTTGGGATGTTTGTGACAAGAAGGAATGAAAAAATAATTTGTCAGCTACTTTATTTTCAGTTGCACTTTACTATATACCATATTTTCAGTGATGCGGACGTTGTCAGCAAACAGTCTTAAAATGTCTTTAAAGATTTGGGATGTTTGTGACAAGAAGGAATGAAGAAATAATTTGTCAGCTACTTTATTTTCAGTTGCACTTTACTATATACCATATTTTCAGTGATGCGGACGTTGTCAGCAAACAGTCTTAAAATGTCTTTAAAGATTTGGGATGTTTGTGACAAGAAGGAATGAAGAAATAATTTGTCAGCTACTTTATTTTCAGTTGCACTTTACTATATACCATATTTTCAGTGATGCGGACGTTGTCAGCAAACAGTCTTAAAATGTCTTTAAAGATTTGGGATGTTTGTGACAAGAAGGAATGAAGAAATAATTTGTCAGCTACTTTATTTTCAGTTGCACTTTACTATATACCATATTTTCAGTGATGCGGACGTTGTCAGCAAACAGTCTTAAAATGTCTTTAAAGATTTGCGATGTTTGTAAGAAAAAGTAATGAAAAGATAATGTGTCATATCTTAGTTTCATTTTTAATCAATCACTTTATTATGGGCATTTGATTAGCATATTCAGGCACTGATGTGTGTTAATTAAAGTTTGTATTATTGTAATTTAATATATATCGTTCTTCATTATATCTCATTTCGTTGATCGCGATTAATTTTCAAAATTTTTTTTATATAGCACAAAAAGACTGCTTATAGGAATATGTCTATACGTGACTAGCATAAAAAGTTGCTAATACTTTATTGGCATTCTTATTATGGAAAAGGCAATTCTTCAACATAAGAGGTGAGCTAATATCACTGGTTATTGTCAACATTTTTATAAGATATATAACTATATAAATGTTTTTTTATTTTATAGTTGTCAACGAAAAATTAATTTAAAAAAATCTATAGAAAAAAATAAATAAAAAAAAACACAAAGTTTAAACAAAAATTTTTCTTTTTATTGAAATGATCAGCTTAAACATTTAATGTATATTAATATGAATATTTAAAACTTAGAATATTTAATTAAAATCAAATTACTACAAAAAAAAAATTATAATTAAATTATGTATAATTATAATAATAAAATGGAGTTAATATAATCGTTGCTTTTACGATTTTATTTTTTTTATTTTTGTATAATTTTCTGTATGATTTTATGAATTTGTATGAAATAAATTTAACGATAAATTAGGTTTTTAAAATTAATATTTAAAATGTTAATATAAAAAACATTTCTAAAAATGATTTCTAAGATCATTATGTTTATGAATTATTATGTGAACTTATTTAAATATTTAATTATGTTTTTAGACAGAGAAGTATAAATGAAAAATTAAAAATAAAAATTATGATAAACAAAAATAACAAAGAATATTTTTTAAAATTAAAAATAGCACTAATTAACATATATATGTATATACTGGTTTCATATGGTCTATAGATGTTTTACATTTATTTATTATAAATATATGTATATAATATATATGAATGAAATATGCATATAGTGAGTTACTGTGATTTGTAGTGTGTATGAAAATGTGTTGTAGTCTAATTAATCTGTAGAATTGATAGAAAAATTAAGAAAACTATTTAGAGGGACTTCTTTCTGTTGGATGTATGGATTGGCAATATAATTTTACAGCAGCAGTTTATATATTGAAATACACTGGAATTAAGAGTTCTTTGTCTATGTACAGAAAATTATAAAGGAAATGAGTGTGAAACTGTAATAAAAATAATATTTTCGTTCCTAATACATTAAATCATTGAATTTTACTAATTTTAAAAACGAGCCTAAAATAGAAAATCCTCTTTTTGGTTTAATTAAAAAATTGATTGCACATATTTGTAAAAAAATTGTCATGAAATTATGAAGAAAATATAATTCGAATATCACTTGTTTCATTTTTAAGTAAAATTACAAATTTCTCAAAATAATCATTAAGTCAAGAGAGTAACTCAAATCCAATATACATAAACAACAGAACACCGGGACTTTTTTTGTTTGGTTCTTTTCTTCAGTTGAGTGTACTGGCTGGTTGCATTGAAAAGTAGAAGTACATTGTAAATGCAAAAGCTATGAACAAATACAAAAAAATGAGTTTACAACAACAACAATGCTGCCTTGTCTACTAACCGAATTGGGTTGTATGTACAAAATTCATTTAAGTGGGATAGATGGGAATAGTTGACTTAGATAGATAGTTAGTTTATTGATATGAAATACATTGTGACCGAAAGGTTTTCGGAAATTCTCATTTAAAATTCGCGCGCTGTATATTCTTCGATATTTTAAGTTTATGTAGTTTGGCAGCAATTAAGGACAATTACTATGCCAAAAATGAGCGCGATCTGTCAGACAGTTCGTTTACGGCAGCTGTTTAAACCAGTTCACCTCAGTAGTGCGTTGCGAAAAAAACAATGGAAAAAAATATTGAACAAAGAGTTTGCATCAAATTTTGTGTTTCGAACGAAATTTCGTGTGCAGAATCTTTGCGAATGCTACAAAAGGCTTATGGGGAATCAGTTTTATCGAAAACTCAAGTTTATGAGTGGTACAAAGCCTTTCAGGACGGTCGTACGACCGTCGAAGACATGCCGCGTTCTGGACGACCTTCGACCTCTACCCCCGACGAAAACATTGAAAAGGCAAAGGAAATCGTGTTCCAAAATCCTCATGTGAGTGTTAGAGAGATAGCACGAGAGCTAGGCATCGGTCGTGAGATGGCTCGTTTGATTTTGGTGGAAAATTTGTGTATGCGACGTGTCAACGCTCGGCTTGTTCCGATTCACCTCAATTTGTTCCAACATTATCAACGATTTTAAGGCCAAACATTCAATAAATACCATCGAACAGCCACCGTATTCACCTGATCTTGCACCGTGTGACTTTTTCCTGTTTCCCAAACTCAAATTACCACTCAGAGGAACGCGTTTTGAATCCATAGAAGACGTAAAACAGAATTAGCAGAGGGAACTCAAAGCCATACCGGAAAGCGCCTATAAAAAATGTTTTGATGATTGGAAGAAACGTTGGCATTTGTGTATCGCTTCTAATGGAGCATATTTTGAAGGAGATAAAATAAATATTGATGAAGATTAAGAATTTTGCGTTTTATTTAAAATTTCCGGAAACTTTTCGGTCACAATGTATAACTATTTGTATAAAGAAAAATATCAACTAGATAGTAGAATCACATAGTAGTGGAAAAACCTATCTTTTTTTTAGCAAATGATGTTGAAAGATACTTTTATAGAGTCAAACTAAAATTGTGTTTCTGTTTTTAATTTTTGTCGAAATTATTTTAAAGTCGGTTTTATCTTTTTTTAAGAATACTGATTTTTTTTTCGAGCGTTAATTTTTAGTATATTTCTATAAGTATTTCGGCAAATTCGTATAGAAATATACTAAAAATTGACGCTCGAAATAAAAGTTCATATTCTAAAAAAAAAAACAAAACCGATTTTAATATTGTATTAATATTTTTATTTTTATTTATATTTTTAAATGAAATAAAATTTGTTATTAATAAATTCTTTACTGTCAAATTTTATGTATAATATTTTAACATTGTTAATAGATTTTATATTTAAAGGCATTTTTTAAAAAATTATAATAATTATTTAAAATTTATTTAAAATGCAAATTGAAAATATTTTTCTTACAAAAATAATTTGAAAAATTACTAAAATTAAATAAAAGTTTTTAAAGAATTTAATAAGCATTACATATAAATTATAAAATGTGATTTAGAAATGAGTTACACTCCTTGAGAAATCGTTTTCTGAATTTTGAGGAACTTTTAATTTTAAAATTTCTTAAAAATGAACAAGAATTTATTTTCAAGTGCAAAATTTTCAAGCGATAAATAAAAAGAATATAGTTAAATATTGATAAAATAATTTATATTATTAAAAATTTATGTACAGGAAAGCAAGTTATTTCGAAGAAAAATAATCATTAATTGTTTATACATTTTTTTAAATTTATTTCTATATAATAGAGAAAAGAATTATTAGCAAGAATTTCAATTTAAAAATTTTTTAATAATAAAAACTATCTTTAATAAAAATGCAATTGACTGCAAATATATAAAAAATAAAAAGCATAGTGCATATATCATATTTTTTATATATGTAAAAAAAATCTGCTGCTGTAGTCTATAGAGTGAAAATTAAAATAAAAATAAATAAAAAAAATAAACTAATATGTTAACACATTAAAGAAAATAAAAAAAATTTATTTTGTTTCGCTTGTCGTCGATTTATTTTATTTTAATTTTATAATAATATAAAAATTTAATAGCTAAAGCTATTAGAATATTTTCAATATATAATAATAGACATCAAAAATGTATAAGTATATTGTAATTACTACATGTGTAAATATTTAAAATTGTATGTGTAACTGTTAAAATCTACTTAATTTTTTAAACGTAAAATAAAAAAAAAATTAAAATAAAAACTAATTGTCACAATATTTACTACTAAATTACTGTTTTAAAAAATATATATCAAAAAAAAAAAAATTAAAACATATTTAGACAATAAATAAAAACGAAGAAATAACTTTAATAATTAGTTTATAAAATCAATATTTTTTATTTGTTCACATAATAAAAATGTTGAAATTAAATACAAATCATACAAATTATCAATAATAATTATAATTAAAATCATAAGTTTAATTGCTTATTTGCTTATTTTGTGTTGTTTTTTTTTTCAAGACTTAAAAATGATTTGCTTTCGTATTTATAGAAAATAATTAATTAAATTTTTATTGTAATACAATTTCAGTTATATTTGTTTTAAATAATAAAATTTAAAATTTTAGCATAACAATTTTTAAAAAATATAAATTAATATAATTATTAAAAACAATATTTGTTTATATGCTATACATATATATATGTATATGTATTCATTAATATATAAAATTAAAATAAAAAAAATTGCTGTTACAGTTATGTGTATATATGTAAGGATATTTGTAAATTTATCTAAAAATTTATTATATATCATGTAAAGATATATGTTTATAAGTTGCTTGTTTAAAATTAAAATAAAAAGAAGAAGCACTCATATTAAGATTGCTGACTCACCCACAATACCGGTTTCGGCACTGTTATTACCACTTGGACGGCTTAGACCGTTCATATGTAGCACATCAGCTGTTACATTGGCTGTTAGAGGTTTGTTCAGACCGTAAGCACCGGCGGTGGCTTGGGCTAATATTTCGCCTCTTCTAGCTGCACTGTTAGTTGTTATTGTTATTAAATTATTATTGTTATTGTTGCTGTTGCTTTTGTTGTAGTTGCTGTTATAGTTAAAGTTGTTACCAGGTGCATTAAAAGTTGTTGTAGAATTTTCAATGATGGGTGTTTGAGGCGAATCAAGCGGTCTTATACCAACGAATGATGATTCCAGCCAGCATTTCCTAATAGCATAAATTGAAAATATGTATTAGACATTATGTATTGTGTACATTTATTAATTATTAAGGTATTAGATATTAATACCTTAAAAAACTTGTTAAATAATTAAAATAACGTGTTAAGTCATATTAGTGTATTAATAAAAAACGAACGATTCAATAAGTTTTTAAATTCTATGCTTTAAGGTTAAATTTTAAAAAATATATAAATTGCACTTTTTTTTAATAATGCATATCAAACTAACAGTTGGTTCTAACCTGTAAAAATATTTATATACACATTTTTGATTTAATATAAGATAATGCTGTACTTATTAAAGGTCTGTGCGGTTGTTCAAGATAAAATTTAAGAACTATTCACCTTTAATATATTATGCAGATGGTCAGTTTTGACAAGGAGTAAAGCTGTAACTCTAAAAAAACTTTTTCGGAAATTTCAAAAATTTATCAAAACTACCTTGACTTGAATTCACACTTTTACTATTTTTATTATTATTAAAGCTTTGACGTAAAATCGCCTAGCAGCCGGTACTACGGCCAGAAGAGTCTCATTGTATCAATTTCACTATTGATTACACAAAGCCCTTTAAAGCTTTGTGAACAAAGTCCAGCTCTAAATCTAGAGAAGAGCTCTCAATTCCATACGAAACATAAAAATTATGCATAGTTGTTTCCTCATCTTCGAGGCATAATTTGCATTCCGTATTAGCAGATAATCTTAGTTTATGAAGGTAATATTTCAGGCCATAATGACCTGTTTTGAAACCGCTTATCAACCTTAAAATACATTTTGAGAATTTAAGAATATTTTTGTAGGAGTACGGTTTCATCAGTACTCTAGCCGCATATGATTTTCCTTGTCCTTAAATTTACACTTACTAGTATTATAAATATATTTTCGAGAATATAAGTTAATGCAAGCTCATATATGCTAAGAGACACCATAGACCCATAGGTGGTCTATGTGTAATCTAATAGAGACTTTCTCTTTAACCTAACCCAAACTAAACTAATACTTTCTAGCATAAACAATTTACTATGTCCGTAATGTTTTACCTCATTGGGATTCCAAAAATATGTTAATTACTATCTACTTAAATTCTTCTTCTTCTTAGTGTTTTTCTAAATTAATACTTGTATTTTTTTCGTAAAAATGCGTTTCTTAATAAACTTATTTTTGATTTATAATGCACATTTAATGAGTTTTCGTAACTGTTTTCAATGTAATTACTACCTATTAAGTATATAATGTATTTATTGTCAACTTTTATCTTTCATACAAATTTGCATGTGCATACATTCAACCATTCCTACTAAAATCTAATCCAATAATCAATGACGATGTCAGTTTCACATCAGGTTTTAATACAATTAAAAAGATACAGAAAATTAAAATAGTTGTCATTCACATTTTGTACTCGTAAAGGCCATGTTGTGCCCTGCACTTCAGGAGAAATTAATTGCATTTCCATTAAATTGAACTGACTGAGTTTCGTAGTATTTATAGATTTTTGATAAATAAAAATATATATATATATATTATTCACTTTTTTAAAAGCATTTCGCAAACATATAAATTCTGTTTGACTAATTATATTTAAGTAAAATTAAAAAAAATAAATGTAGGAAAAACTATCTGAAATCTAGTAAGTAATAATTTAAAAGCACTACCCTAGTCTCTAGTCTTATATCTCGTGATTGATGGAAATCTATTTCTATACATATTAATAATATGTAATTGCAACTACTAATTAATTTCGACGGTTATTGATGACAAGTGACCTGAAAACAATAAAGTTTTAAATACTGGATCATCAAATCAACACTGCGAGTATGTAATTTTAAATATTATAGTTGGAACTAATTTTAGATATTCACCAAATTCGACAATTGTGTCTAGTATTTTTTAGCAAAGCTCCATTTAAAGATATACATATAACAAGTGTATAAAATTTGTTAAAAATTAATTAGAAAACAAACCTATTCTGGTTCTATCCGTAACTTAGGGTCCACATTCTTAAAAATCGTATAGTAGGTACGATTTAGCTCTAACATAAGTATCTAAATATAAATATGGCAAAACATCGTGATCTTTCTAATTTCTAAAATTATTAGATAATAAATCTAAAAATTATCAGATTTGTTTTTATTTTTTATATGTTGATTTAAAAACAATAATATATATTCCCTGATGATTTTTATTTACTTAATATTTCCAGAATCAATTAAATCATCTGAAAGTTTTTAATGCATGATTTTAGGCTAAATTAAATAAAAATTCCAACAAACAATTTATACGTGTATAAATTATACAAAAAATATAATATAATAATTAAAAAATAAAAATAATAAGCAATTTATAAAATAATAAATATAATATAATTAATAATAAATAGTAATCATATAGTTATATTGAATAATAAATTACAGACGGAGGAGGAGCCTTACATAATTTATTTGTGTTTTTTATGTTGCGATAACACGTTTTATATTGATTTAAATCACGTAGAATTAAATTAAAGTAGATTCAATTAATTCATATTAAAATAAGTTATAATAAGTTTGATTACATTAATTTAAATTTTATTAAGTTGAAATAAATTAAATATATTTTGAATAAATTTTAACTTATTTAACTCATTGGGCAGTATTTGAAACGAGTAGATCAGCAAAATATTAAATAAATAAAAATTTTTGCCAAATGAAATAAACTTAATTTTAAAATAAATTTAAATAGAAAATAAACACTTTTGTACTTACAAAATAATTTTCTTTATCAAATTTGTCAAATTAAATCAAATTAATTCAAATTAAATAAAAATAAATTAAATTAAAACTAATTAAATAAAATCAAATCAAATTAAATAAAATTAAATAAAATTATTAAAATTAAATAAAATTAAATTAAATTAAATTAAATTAAATTAAATTAAATTAAATTAAATTAAATTAAATTAAATTAAATTAAATTAAATTCAATACAATTCAATTCAATTCAATTCAATTCAATTAAATTAAATTATATTAAATCACATCAAATTAAATAAAATTATATTAAATAAAATTAAATAAAATTCAATCAAATTAAATAAATCAGATAAATTAGATCAAATTAAATAAAATAAAATTAAATAAAATTATATCAAATTAAGTAAAATTCAATGAAATTAAATTAATTTCGATAAAATTAAATAAAATTATCAAATCAAATTAATTGATGAAGGAAATTTTTTGTTAGAAATAATATTCATAAAAATAAAACATAAAAAATAAGTTAATAATTAATTAACTTAACTTAAATAAATTTAAAATAAATGAAATAAAAATTGTTTAAAATTGTTATTCCAATATTTCTACAGTAGAATTAATTTTTTCACCAGAAACCAAAAAAAAACTGAATAAAAAAATTTTATTGACGTACACTGTAGGTTCGTTCGACATTTAATTTAGTTCACTTTATAGAAACTGTGCCGAAATAGAAAAATCTGGAATTCTATGCCATCTAGATTTATGTGAACTCAATAAAATATGATTTCCATTATTTTTGCAATACAGTAAATGTATGTATATCGGAATATTACTAGAGATATGAAATTTACTTATATAGAATTATTTTTACTGAAATAATTTAATTAATTTAATTTATAGCATTAAGGCATTGTTTTATTATTATAAATCTAGTATGAGTGATTTGCGTTGACAATGAAACACTTTTGAGGTTAACTGAAAAACTGCCTAATTTACCATAAGATAATAATAATATAAACTATATATATTTATATATATATATATATATGTATGTATAACAGATTCGTTTATTGAAAACAATTTATCACATCATATATATATGTAGATATATTTAATTTTGCATAGCGTAGTTTCTCTTTGACTTTTGAAATACACATTAACTATCAAAACCACATACATAAATTACAGTTAAATAGTGTCAAATATATATAAAATTATGCACAATTTTTAATGTTAACACTTTCAATACTTAAATTTTATTTAAATATTATTATACACTAAAAATTTGTTTTATATATTTTGAAAAATTATTTTTTGTAAATATTTTTGTCTTTATATATTTCATTGAATAAAAGTAAAAATTTGATAGGAAGTGGTGCCTAAGTGGTGTGGTATATTTTTTGAAATAAAGTACACCACCAAAAAAAAATATTGTTTTACGCAAAACAAAGAAATTTGTGTAAAACAGAAATATATTATTATTATTATTTCATAGTTTTACTCAGTTTTTAAATTTTAAAATGGCAAGAAACAAACACTTACAAGAAGCAATCAACCGGCTAAAAGTATGCAATAAAATTTTTGCAAGAAGTTTTTATTTAAATATTTCTCCTCCGTCTCTGCGATACGTATTATCAAGAAAACACACCAGTAATTTAATTTTTGTTCCAAAAATTGTAAAAAGAACTTTTAACAGAATTTATTTAAATATTCACTTTAATTCACAACTAAAGAATATACGTCCACAGCCCAGCACGTTGCCAGTAATAATGAATATACGCAACTGCCCTGAAATCGGCATAACACTTGGCCATAAAAAAGAAGAAAATATTCAGAAAAACTACATGAACTAAAAACAACAATAATACTAGAATTGAAAACAACACGAGGAAGGGGCATAAATCAGATGAAATGAGGCAATGTATACAAAGGAGGCTGATTACACAGCCGAGGCTATAGCAAAAGATATAATTTTACAAACATATATAAGCGTACGTGTATGTATTTATGTCATGGCACAAATACACATAATAAGCAATTCAAATTGCTCTTTCATATTATGACTTCCAGGCAGAGTTTTAGTATGGGGTAGGTTAACTGGGCTAACTATTCGCAATAGTTGAGGTTCAAAGTGCACTAAACTGCAACGAAGCTTTGAAAGACTTGCACTACCAGTTAACTGCAAAGTTAAATAAAGAGAGACAGAAGCAAAAGCAAAAAAAGGGAAAGAGAAGGAGAGCCAGAGAGCAAGAGAG